AGAAGCCATCATTTTCCAAATACCTGAAAATGTTGAAATATTCTATATGTAAATACCTAGACAACATTATTAGAATTGCACAATTTTCTAATTCTAATAAAATTCTAGTTCTAGTTCATTAATCAAATTAATTGTTTATCTTACCCAGTGTTTCTCAACCTTGGCAATTTTAAGATGAGTGGACTTCAACTCCCAGAGTTCCCCAGCCAGCATCTTAATGTTGCTAAGGTTGAGAAACACTGATCTTATGAATGTGTTTTATTTTACTGCTAAGAAATGCAATCCACATTGCAGGCTCACACAAGCTAATTCTCAGAAAGTACACAGATAGCAAACATCCCACTTCACACCTTATCTTGAGTGTGCATTAAGTCACATCCTTCATCACTACACAATAAGCTAAAATTGGTATGTACAGCTTTCCTGTTCAATTACACTTCTACACCTATCAAAAATAATGTTAGTTGCAGCAATTAAAGGTATAGCTTTATACTTATAAAACACATCTGGTTTTACTACTATAGTCCTAGAGTATTTTCAGGTTCATGATTACATGGATTTACAGAATGAATTTTACAATGACGCGTACATGCATAAAACAAAGCAAAAGAGATGGGGAACTTTTTTCAGTTAAACTAACTTATTTTTATCTTCCTCTTCTTCCAAGGACTGTAACAGGCATGGCAGTCTTGTGGTATGGGGGGGGGGGGGGATTGACCCCTTTTGGGAAAGTTTAGAGGATTGTGTTGGGTTTTATTTACTCAAAAGCAGTTCATTAAGCTTGGTGTAGACTTAACATGACTATTTTGTTTCCCAAAATTGCTATTTTGCTGCTGAATTTCAATATCCTAGTCTTTGGGGATTCTGGGATATGGCTGCAGAATTTACCTATACCCCAAAAGCCTCTGTGCTAATGGATTAAATCTGAAAAATGAGTGAAAATTGAAAGAAAAAGAGTTTAGAACATTTTTCCAAAAGACAGCATAACACCCCACACATATGAAGCCTAATAATAAATATATTTCCACATAACCTACAGCACAAAATACTTAAATCTAAATAAGTCTTTTAAGTGTTTTAGTTGATTCAGTTACACTAAACTGAATATCACTTATTTTAAGAACATCACTTACCCAGCTCATTGTAGTGTTAACTTATAATAAGGTAAAGATAAATTGAACTGTTGGTTTTCTTGACACCAATATGGACATGGTCTAACATTTCTTTCTTCCTGGATGTTTTTCAACTGCCCAGTTAGCCTAAAGTTCTTGAATTTTGTCTTCCATCCAAGTACTAAGGTACTTTTTTAGATCAGCTAAGATGGGTCAGGCACTAATTACAATACCAGAAATCAAATTCTTACCTCCATTCAGCCATGAAGCCAATCATATGATGATTGTGGGCCAAACTCTACTGGCTGTTGGAAAAATAAATGGAAGTGTGGCTTGTGTATCTACAGAGGAATGCATTCCAATGATCTATACCAGTTTAAAAAGTTTTTAAACTTTTTTCTCCCAGGATCCCTTGCCCAAAAAAGCCTTTGTATGGATTATATGCATTGATATTTACCATATTAAAAATTAAAACTGACACATTTGCTGCCACTACTGCTTCTTACAATTGTATGATGGGATTTTAATATTGTATTATTTTTCAACATAGGCTGGCAAATAATTTTGATTTTGAAGACTCCTGAGAGATTCTTGGGGGACCACACTTTAAAAAAGACTGATCTATACCATCCTGAGCTTCTTGGCAGAAGGCAGAACTAAAATGCAGAATGTATAACTGTGCATAAAACTACACTTTGTAGCTATGATGGTTATTTAAAAAGTTTCACATGGCAAAGCTTCTAAATTAAATTAAATAAGAAAGGAGTGTGCTCAAACAACCTCTGTTACTCTCAACTAGGTATGTCTGTTTGGGTTAATACTCTCATGCCACACTCATGGCCTTTCAGAGGCTGGTAAAAGCCCAGCTTTTCCAGAAGGCCTTCAGAGATTGACTATAGCGCCATGGGTACTTAAATATTTGGTATTTTTGCTTTATTGATTTAATATTTACTGTTATTATTTAACACCTGCAAACTGTCTAGAGCCCTTTACATTTGAAGCAGTAAATACATTTCACCAATAAAAAACAAATAACAATTAAATAATTCTACTTTGATTTGCATCACACTAAATGCCAATGCAAAACTCTGTTTATTTTTATTTCTCCTGTTTTGTATTGTTTTGAACATTCTGGGACTGAATCTCCTATGAGAAGTATGTTGAATCATTACACCTCTCAAATAGCTCCTTCTAGCGTTAATCACCTTTAAAAAATATTACAGTATAGCAAAAAGGAAGGAGGTCATCAGGGGTATCTGCAGGATAGGGTCAAAAAAGTGAACATGACAGCCATGATGGCATGATCAAAGCTCTGCCTGTTTCTTTATGTGGAAACAGGCAGAGCTTTGATGGCACCATCGCAGCTGCCATCTTAACCTGTTTGAACACATCCTGCAGACACCCTTGGAGGTCCTGGAAAACACACTGGAGATTTTTGGGACAGTGTTGTGGGGGGCAGGGGGAGAGGAAGCAGATACTTCTTCCTAGGAGTATTTCTTCCTGTTGTAACTTTCCCTGTCAGATCAAACTGGTCCTTAACAGCCATTATAAAAGTGCAGAGATTCAAGGATGCTACATATGTGGGCTCATAAGTCCAGAATGAAAATCAACATTTCTGGATAAACTCCAAGGTATGTTCAAGTTAGCATTGTGAAATTGCTGCATGCGTCGAGATATATTTTAGCATGCTTTCAACATCTGAGAGTTGCCCAGCTTCGAAAGACCCTTGACATTATAGCAGTTAATCAGGGAACGGAAATGAAATCTAACCTCTTTCTCCTCCAAGATAATATTAGCTGCTAACTTGGAAATATACAACACAGCTTCTGTTAATCGTTATCTTTTTTTTTTTTTTTAACTAAAACAACCTAATTCCTTCCTTTTCTATTCTAGGATAATATTAACTGCTGCCTAACTAAAAATATGCAATGTGGGTTTTGTAATATATTTACCAGATTGTAAAAACAAGCTCAGTTCCTGCAGATTTTATGGACATCTCCACAGTTTTCTTGATGATGTTACGGAAATAGTTTGCCACCACCTCTTCTGGAATGTTTTTGATTTCTCAGTCTAGCCTGGAAGTCTCCCACACAAATCCCAACCAGGCCCAGCCCTGCTTAGTTGCCAATCCCAGATAAAGTTGGCCACTTACTGAGGCTTACTGAACTGTATCAAGGCCAAAGGTATACTTTATGGTTTGGGGGTAACTCTAAAACCAATAAAGTCTGTGCTTCAAATGCATATGAAAATGTTGCTCTAAACAGAACATAAAATGTGTGATTCATCACAATGTTCGTCAGAGTCCGAGTTGGGTGGTTAGTAAATTTAAATAAATAAATGTTTCAAAAGTAACATTCAACTTAAATATTCTTAACCTGGGGTGGGGGGGGAGAGACTGAACCTTTTGCTTATCCCCAGCTATATTTTGTGACTTGCATCTGCTCTTTCTCATGCACAGAAAAAGGGGAGAGGAAGAGATTTTATTTCTATATCACTCTTCCTCCTAGTCAGAGAAGCCCAGAGCCATTTACAAGAGAACAGAAACTTCCTTAAATAAAACAATAGCAATATAATATAAATAAATAAAACAAATCATCCTTAAAATAAATTTTAAAAATCCAGAATGATAATTATTTTGCTGTAGCTTTAAAAGATTCAGAGGCTGTGGTGGAAATTCACGCTGTGTTGCAAGAGTCAAGCAACATTACCTTGTGTATTTTTTTGTGGCAGGAAGTTTTGCAGAATTGGCAAAACCGCCATATAGAGAAGTGAGCAAATTTGTATTTCAGATCTACACCGGAAGAGAGCTTCTGAAGAAACTGCCATGCTTTTGGCACCTCTTCCCTCCCCCGTTTCCACACCAACACACTTCTGATTAAAATCCTTAGGCAGACCTTAATACATAAAATAAGATATGTATGATCTGAACCAGCTGCAAGCCATGTTCTTTGAACAGGAATAGGCATAAAATGAGGATTTTAAAAAAAAGCAGCGACTGCTCATTTGTGTGAAGAAAAGGCACTCTATACATGCTCAGAAGCTGTATAATCTCCTTTTTGGAATACCTTCCATCAAAGCATCCTGACAGATCATATCAAATCTCTCACACTGCATTCTCAATTAATTACAACAGAGCCTGCCCTACCATTTGTAAAAAAATATCACAAGCAATTGCGATACACTATAACATAGAGAGAGGAGTAGGAACTTCATCCAGGAGAAATGTTCATATTGCCCCTATAGACAGCTTGAAAGGGGGTGGGAGAAATACCGTCCTATGGAATATTTGGCAAAAGTGTGTAGAATGGAGGTCTGTGGGTTTATCCTGTTTGCTTACTTTATAAAACCCCTGAGATTCACCAAGTGGATCGTTTGTTGCAAAAACCTAATCCTTAGAATGAACAAAACCAGGATCTTACTGGACCTGGGTAGGGCATACAGTCCTTGCATAAAACTCCACTCCTTAGTTACTGTAACTTTACTTCATTTCAGCAACTGGAATAAGTGCTGCTGCTGTTTAATCATTCAAAAACCGATCAAGTAAATCCAGAGTCAAGTTCAAAAATTCAGCCCACCCTTGATCTGGATGCCCGAAAAGAGGCCTTACAAGTGATCACTGCGCCGATATCATTACACATGACGCTGCATTTAATGCCCCCACCCACGAAAAGAAAAGAAAAGAAAAGAAAAGAAAAGAAAAGAAAAGAAAAGAAAAGAAATCCTTTCAACATTCAACCGAATTTTGCAAGCAAATCAGGCTTCCACTTTTTTCGGGTCGTTGTAATGGGGCACTTAGGACAAACCATCGCCCGCCACGAGGGGAGAGAAGTCGAACCAGAACTACTACTGGCTGGCACCAACTCCAGCGGATTTTCCTCCAAAGCCTACCTTGCCGGGTTTTGCTGCGGCGCTAACCTGCAGGGTTCAAGCGCTACCGAGTACCTGCGCACCCGGCGGAGAAGCCAATCGGGGAAGAGTGGAGAGCGCGCGCTCGGTCGCGACTGGCTCGGGCCCCAACCCACACGGGCGGCGGTGTGGAGCGGGGGCGGGCGGGGCGGCCCGCGGGGACGAGGGCAGCGACGCGCTCGGTTCCCACGCCCGCCCGCTCGGCGG